ATTCTAGTAGCCTTGTTTACATTATGTTCTCCAAAGGTCGACTTTCATATGCTTAGGGGTCGACTTCAGTAGATTCCTGTAGCATAAAGACCACAAAAAGCACAAAAAAATGCAACTTGCCAAGATGCAATGATTTCAAACCATGGATTTATATAAAGATAAGTTTGATTTTCAATTCAACCATGTTTAAAGCATAATTTTGAAATTGTATACGTTAAGATTTTTCAGCAAAACCTTGTGAACCCAAAATTTTTCTCTCATTGCTCATGTTCACAAGTATTAAAAGGTTGAATAGCTCATTTGAAAATTTTACCTTTAATATGCTCAAGTATGCTTAATTCTCATCATGATGTATGAATATAATTTATAAAATGTATCACAAGCATATTAGGTAACATTTAAGAATAATAAGCATCAAATTTAACATTTTTAGAATTTTTCTAGTATATAGACAAAAATGCCCATGAGGTCATTTAAGCATTCATTTACAAAGAAAACAAGTTGTAATAACATTTTTAACACTAGGCACACTTGTTCAAGTTTTATATAATTGAAATCATTGAAACCCCAAGAGTGACAAACATTGCAAATAAATTTGTTTGCTTACTTGAAATATGCCATCAATGTCAAATTTCACACTCAAGATCATGCTCAAGAAAAACTTTTTCAATCAATTTCACAAATCATACGAAAAATACCAAGCAAAGGAAAACTGTGCAATTTATATACATATATCAAATCAATTTTGTTCAAGCAAGCTATAGTTATCAAGAACAAAGAATTAATCAAAACAAACAAAAAGTTTTTCAAGAAATTCATTTAAAAAGATTTAAGGTTTTTTTTTAAGTTTGTCCTTGAAACATACAAGATTTGAGTTGGACATGCTTAATGTAAAATCATGAGCTCAATGTCACTCAATTTTCTTTAATTATGTTCTAAATGATATATGAAATGTCTAATAAGCATACTGAATCATATAATCATGTATAAAAAATGCCCTTATGATTATTCATGCTTGCAAGCAAGTAACAAGTCAATAGGTATTTTCATCATGAAACAACTTGGTTCAATTTATAATTCATGATAAGATCAAGGATGGAAAGCATTTTTGTTATAAGTTTGTTTTTGCTTAAAAAAATACCAATTCAAGTTGTCACAACTTTCAAGTTCATTATCAACCATCTTAAAGTATTCAAGCAAGTTCTAGAATGCAAACCAAGATTGTTCAAATGGTTAACTTATCTTAGTCACAAGGAAAACAAAAGATCAACTTTGCAAACTCAATTTTCCTTGTTTGGACTACTAGAATAGGTAATTATGCAAGTCAATCTATTAATTACATTAGCTACTTCACATGCCATCAACATCAAACCTTTTATACTTAAAGATATGCTCAAAAATCATTTTTTCAAAAAAATGAAATCAAATTCACAAAACATGAGGAAATTATATCAAAATAATTTTTCACAATTAAGCAAAATCAATAAAACTCAAATATATAAGAAAAACAAGCAATTTTCTCAAGAAAAAATTAATAACTTTTGGCATAAGCATAAGGATATATTCAAAATCAACCATAAGCACATATTCAAAATAAAGGTTCATACTTCCTTCAAGATTATACAATTTATATCGTGTATCATATTAAATCAAATTGCATAACCAAATTTATCAATAACGCTCAAGGAGAGTAGACAAATAATTATGCACTTAATATTCAAGCAAGAAAAGGCAATCATATTTTCAATAAAGAAAATAACTTGAGAAATCAAGATAAATCAATTCAATCAAAACAAAATAAAAGCAACCAATCAAAGTTCACAATTTAACAGATAAAAGACTTTTGGTAAAGAAATCACCCATTTTTCTTTGTGTGTCTAAAAAGCTTTCAATCTTTAATAGTTTGTTTCTCCTTACTGTAGTACACCTACAAGAGATATTCTCATTTGATTTTTGGTATTTAAATTTCTTTAGAATCCTTGAAAATTAGTCTCATTACACATAGTTCTTTTTGGAATCCACACTTGTCTAATCCTATAAGATAAACATTTCTAATTTGACAAGTGCATGAATAATGACTATAGAATTTACAATAATTACATCTGATCATCTTTAAAAGTGGGGAATTCATGAGAAATTTTTTCTTTTCATTTGTCAATTTTTCAAGCTTCATTTTTGCATCTAAATTCTCCTTTTCTAAAACGTCAATTTTCTTTTGGCAAACTTCGAAATTTATTTTTGATTTTTGATTTTCTTTTTCCAAATCATCTTTTGCCTTAAACAAAAATTCATTTTCAATACTAAGTTTTGAAATCATTTTCTTATGTTTCAAATTCATTTTCTCAAAATCACCAGCTAATTCTTCAAAGGCATTTTGCAATTCACCAAAAGAATATGAAAAAGGTTCACAAACTTATGAGTTTACTTTAAGCTCTTCAAGAGCCATGAGGCATGATTCGAATTTGATTGAGGATTGATTTTCACTTGATTCCTTACCTCTAATTGCTCACCATATGTTGAGCATTAACCTTTGTAATGCTTTCTTCAAATTCCTCTTCCTTCTTTGCTTCCCCATACAACTCTTCTAATTTCTTCCAAATCTCTTTGGCATTTTCACACTTGGAAACTCTATTGTATTCTCTATCCTTAAGTGCACAAAGGAGAATGTGCAAAACTTTAGCATTGAGTTGTACTATGTTTATGTCATTTGTATCCTACTATTTTTCTTCCTTGGTTGGCTTGTGTGGACCACCAACAATTGTACTCCAAACATCATAATCATTGGCTTGAACAAAGAACTTCATTCTAATCTTCCAATAAGTTTAGTTCTCATCATTAAATAGAGAAGGGTCTACAATTAATTGCTCTTCACCAAGAATTGCTGCAATGAAGTTCATGTCCATGTCTTGGAGCTAGAAAGGATCACTTAAAGGTTGTTAAATCTATAAAATTGAGTCCAAGCTCTTATACTAATTGTTAAAAGTGTTATCTCTATAATAATGAGAAAAATATCTAAGAGGGGGGTGAATTGGATTTTTAAAAATTCTTTTCAAACAAATTTAAAATTTTAATGAAGGTAAGTTTGAAAACAAGTTTCTCAAATTTGTTTTCACCTTAAAACATGTCAAAAGTAATTTAAGTAAAGTAATAACCAAACACGTTGAAAATAAATTTTCAAACTCTTTAAGGCAAAATGCACTAGTGTAAAATTTT